TATTCTTCTCCAACACCATAACTCAAAAGCATCAATTCTTCTACGGTCTTCCTTATTCACTGTCCAACTTTCTTATGCATATGAGACTATTGAAAATACCATGACTTGGATCAGGCGCACCTTAGTCCTCAAGCTGACATCTTTGCTCTTCAACACTTTACAAAGGTCTTGTGAAGCAGATTTGCCTAATGCAATACATCGTTTGATTTCTTGACTGCTGCTTCCTTGAGTGTTGATAGTTGATTTGACTCATTGTGACCCCTTATAGGGTTTCCGAGGAGTGGCTGGTGAGTTTGAACTGCCAACTGTTCCACCTGCATCATTGTTGTTAAGTGCCATCAAGCCGGTGCTAACTCATAGTGACCCTATGCACAACAGAATTAAACACTGCCCAGTCCTGTGCCATCCTCACAATCATTGCTACATTTGAATCCATTGTTGCTGTCACTGTGCCAATACATCTCATTGAGGGTCTTCCTCTTTTTCTCTGACCCTCCTGTTACCAAACGTGATATCCTTTTCCAGGGACTGGTCCATCCTGATAATATGCTCAAGGTATGTGAGACAAAGTATGGCCATCTGGCTTCCAAGGAGCATTCAGGCTGTACTTCTTCCAACACAGATTTGTTTGCTCTTTTGGCAGTCCATGGTACTTTTAATATTCTTCTCCAACACCATGACTCGAATGCATCAATTCTTCAACAGTCTTCCTTATTCACTGTCCAACGTCCATAAGCATATGAGGTTATTGAAAATACCATCTTGGGTAAGGTGTACCTTAGACCTCAAATTGCCTCAAACTGACATCATTGCTCTTGAAGATGTTAAAGAGGTGTTGTGCAATAAATTTACCTGATGCAATATATTATTTGATTTCTTGACTGTTGATGGTTGACCCAAGCAAAAGGAAATCTTTGACAAATTTAATCATTTTTTAATTTATATGGATGCTCTTGCTTCAGTGGTGAGGATTTTTGTTTTCGTTACGTTGAAGTGCAACCTGTACTGAAGGTTGTGGCCTTTGATCTTCATCAGTAAGTATTTTAAGTCTTCTTCACTTTCAGCAAGGAATGTTGTATCATCTGTATATTGCAAGTTGTTAATGCCACATTTTTCTTCATATAATGCAGCTGCTCAGATTATTTACTCATCACACAGATTGAATGAGTATGGTGAAAAAACACAAGTCTGGAGCACACCTTTGCTAATTTAATGCATATGGTGTTCCTTTGTTCTGTTTGAACTGCCTCCTCGTTTATGTAGCGGTCCCTCATGAGCACAATTAAGTGTTCCAGAACACTTACATTCTATAATATTGTCCAGAGTTTGTGATGACCCACATACTTGAAAGCCTCTGTGTAGTCAATAAATCACAGGTAAACACCTTTCTGGTATTCTCTGTTTTCAGCTGAGATTCATCTGACGTAAGCAATGATACCCTTGTTTCATGTCCTTTTCTGAATCTGGCTTGAGCCTCTGGAAATTCTCTGTCAATGTATGGTTGCAGCCATTTTTAAATTTTTTTTCAGTAAAAATTTACTTGTATGTGATATTAATGATATTATCCTGTGATATCTGCATTCCTTGAGTTCATCTCTCTTTAGAAATGGCACAAATATGAATCTCATCCAGTCAGTTGTCTAGGTAGTTGTCTTCCAAATTTCTTGGCATAGGTGAGTGAGTGTCTCCAGTGCTGCATCAGTTTGTTGAAAGATTTCAATTTGTATTCCCTCAATTCCTGGAGCCTTGTTCTTTGCTAATGTCTTCAATGCATCTTGGACTCCTTCCTTCAATATTATTTCTTCTTGATCATAAGCTACCTCTTGAAATGGTTGAACCTCATTTCTTTTTGTTACAGTGACTCTGTATTTCTTCCATTTTCTTTTGATTCTGTCTGCATCATTGAATATTTTGCCCGTAGAATCCTTCAAAACCTCAAGTCGAGGCTTAATTTTTTTTCTTCAGTTCCCTTGTCTTGAGAAATGCTGAGTATATTTTTCCCTTTTAGTTTTGTAACTCCAGGTCTTGGCACATTTCATTATAATATTTGACAGTTTTCTTGCGCTGTCCTTTGAAATCTTCTATTGAGCGCTTTTACCATCTCATTTCTTCCATTTGCTTTAGCATCTCTACGCTGGAGAGCAAGTTTCAAAGTCTCTTCTGACATCCATCTTGGTCTTTCCCTTTTGTCTTGTCTTCTTAAAGACCATTTGCTTTTTTACTGTATAATGTTCTTCATCTCATCCCACAACTCTCTGGTCTTCAGTCTTTAGAGTATAATACATTAAATCTGTTCTTCAGATGACATCTAAATTCAGTTAGGACATGTTCAAGGCCATAGTTTGGCTCTTGTGGGCTTGTTTTAATTTTCCTCAGTTTCAGCCTCACCTTGCACATAAACAATTGATGACCTGTTTCACAGTCTGGTCCTGGCCTTTTGGCTGATGATATGGAGTTTTTCCACTGCCACTTTCCACAGATATAGTCAATTTATTTCTGTGTGTTTCATCTGGTGAACTCCATGTGTATATTCATTTTTATGTTGTTTTAAAAAGGTATTTGCAATTAAGAAGTCACTGGTCTTGCAAAATTCTATCATGCAATCTCCAGCATAGTTTTTATCACCAAGGTCAATTTTTCCAACTACTGATCCTTCCCCTTGTTTCTAACCTTTGCATTCCAATTGCCAGTAATTTTCATATACTGATAATTGTTGACTGCGTGTATGATCAGTTTCAAACAGAAGAAGTTGATGAATTATTCAATTTTATCATCACTTGTGTTTAGTGGGTCATGTGTTAATTTGAATAATAATGGTGTTAGCTGGACTTTCTTGTAGGTGTATGGATATTTCCCATCGCAGACAACATTGTACTTCAAGACAGATCTTCATATGTTCACTCTGTTGATAAATGCGATGCCAATCCTCTTGAATTTGTCATTCCTGGAATAGTTAACCATGTGAATTATCAGATTCACAGTGGCCAATACCATTCCATTTCAGCTCTCTAATGCTCAACAACAAGCAGCGATGTCTAGGATATGATATTTATGCCTTCCCTTTCATTTTTGACAATTTCCAATTTTCCTAGATTCATACTTTGTGCATTCCATGTTTCTATTATTAATGGGTATTTACAGCTGTTCTTCTTCATTTTGAGTTGTACCCCATCAGTAAATGAAAGTCTTGAAGGCTTTAATCCATTTGTGTCATCACGGTAAAGCCTACTTTGAGGAAGCAACTTTCCCCCAGTCATATTTTGAGTGGCTTCCAACTGAGGAACTTAT